TTGCGAGGGTTGAGCTTTTTTCATCATTTGAGGGCATCAAATAAAGTATATGGAAACCAAGTAGCTGATGATAGAAAAACATGGAAGTGCCAGTATAATGATCAATCAGTCATTTGACCAATTTTTGTTCCTAATTTTTAAAGACTAATGAGAACTTAATATTTTTATGAGCTTTTCTGCTAAAACTCCTCTACACAGCTTTTATTAAACTATAACCCCGGATAATTTTTCTCTTTATTTAGTAGCTCTTCAGTACTAGGATTTGTCTAATATTGATCAAGTACTTTAATTTGATGCAACAATGTCCAGGAAGACCAAATATTAAATATAATTTAAATTGATTATAATATGCTAATTGTCCAGATCTTGAAATGTCATAGCAAAAGTTGTTGGCCAACCTTCAATATTAAATTAAAATTAATATTGATGAAACCTAATTGAGATACACATTTTTCCTATATCATAGAAAATTTTAGTTAGAGTCATATGAATCTAACGAAAATTTTCTACGATACGGGAAAAATGTGTATTACTATTAGGACAAACACAAAACAGTTTTGTGTTCATGGTACTGGCACTTCCATGTTTTCCCGTCATCAGCTACTTGGTTTCCATATATTTTACTTGATGGGGACAATTCTGAAGTACTTAGTCATTTATGGCATAGACACTGGATATAGTTTATGGTAGAAAAATCTTCATAATTGTCTATAATAAATCCAATTTATAAGTATAATTGCTTATCCCTTACAATGATTTTAAGAATGAATTTTTAATTATAAACGATTACTTCCATTAATTTTTGGATGTTCTATCAACGTTCAAGTCCTTCAAACCGATTCGAGCAGATGTTGCTATACAAACTATCTTTTCTAGTTTTTTACCAACACGGCCATAAGAACCGACTGCTCGCATATGTTTTCATTGCCGGCATACGTGTATTTGCAATTCATAGCATATGTGTATAATTTTTGCCGATCCGGTATGAAGGTGTATTTAGAGGTATCCTTGTGTTCGTATTATCTATATGTGTACGTCTATGTATTTGCAAATGATGACCTTGGCACAATCATTAGCGTTGTGGCCCCCCACCAAATGATGATTTTTTTCTGCCGGCTGTGTGTCGGATCTCTGATGTAAAGAATAACTATGTTGGACCATCATTATTATCCGATGGGAGATAGATACTGGCCTAGGCCAGTGACGTGCTGGAAATTAGTGAGCAGGTGCTAAATGAATTTGGGCGGGGAGAGGGAAATATTTGGAACTGGGGATAAATTTTAGCAAAAATGTATACATCTTTGACACATATCAATTCTTAATATGAATACCTGTTATTGACAAATATAGGGTCTATTTTATTAAAATATTCAAGTTTCGAGGAGCACACTTACATGAATATGTTAAATTCAGTTTTTTTGATAAGCCCTTAATCTAAATGTTCGAAATACTCAACTTACTTTTTAAAATACTCAAGATTAAAAGAGCATTCTTATATGAATATGTTTAGTTCAAATTTTTTGGTAAGATTTTCATTAAAATGTTCAAAATATAAAATATTCAAATTTTGATGTTCATTTTTCAAAATTCATTAGGTAAGCGGTTAAGAGCGCCGGGATCTGAATCAGAGGTTCCGGGTTCGATACCCACTTCAAGCAGCCTGTTGTCAGGCAGCAGTGACAACGATTTTCACTCGGAAATATAGATAGCAATATGTTTCCAAGTGAAAATAACCCTTGCCCGGCATTGCTGCACCAATAAAAAGTCAGCCCTATTAAATTAATTCTAATAACAAAAATCATCAAATATTGGATTAACCATTGGGTTACCATCTAAAAAATACGAAGTAAGGAGAAGTTTCAGCCCAACAGCTCATAGGACGAAAGGTTTTGATTGCTGTTAAAAAAAATATTTTGAATTTACCAGTCTACAACCAAAATAATAGCTACGTTTGTAAATTTGATAACTTGATTATTTTTTTATTGTTATTACATGTATTGTTTGTTTACAACATCCAACTCAGTACATTTTGATAATTACAAATGCAGTTGCCCAAAAAACATTGTCCTAAGAAATATGCACAAAAAGTTAATATAACTCAAAAGCTGATTTTCCACTCAATAGACAAATTGAACCAATATTACATTGATTATAGTATATAATTAAAATGTTATCTTTTAATTAATAAAATTATGATATGAATTTAGTTTTCACCAATAATCAATCTTGACTTATTATTAGATCAATTGGCAAGTGGATTTTATTTTAAGTATTTGTGGTGGATTTTAATTAGTTCATCATACGAAATGTTAAAAATGTCGTTTTCCAACTAACTAGTTTCTATTTGATAGACGAATCATGCATATGATAATGATAATGATATAAATACTCCCCAAAATTGACTTGAATCAAGTGGAGATTTTTTCTTCGTTATAGTTGTTGAAATGTTGAAAATTCTATTATTCAATTTTTAGTAAAAGTTTCAAGATTAGACAAATCTACAAATCTACAAATCTACAAAAGATCATCATATTAGTCTAAGTTTTCTAGTCCATGTTCTTTTTCAATTTACATTTTCATATTGCTAAATGTGATGTGGATGACATCACTAATAGCATAAAACTCTATTACATCATTTGATGTCATATTTACTTTGTGATCTCACATCTACTGAATACTCTATATACCGCTCTAAATTGAGAACATGTGCTAATATCTGCAAATGAATGAAAAATTGAATATATTTTGTACGCCTTTGAATTATCATATATACGCCATATTAATGTGTTTGCTCTATTACAAATACTAGCAAAAAATAAACAAATGCAGTATATCATAGTGTCTAGCAAATAACTCATTTCCTCTTTGCATTAAAGGTATAAAAGTACACACGAGATATAGAAATTATATATATATATATATATATATATATATATATATATATATATATATATTTGCATGCAAAGCCACAAATTAAATTTAATAGCGACAATAAGAGTAGACTTAATTTCAGCCGAACGATTAATTTGTGCAGCTAACGTAGCCTTCACACTTGAGTTGAACTTCCTTTTCAGCTGGTAGTTTTGCGATCAAACTGGTACTGTAGTTTCCGGCGCTCCAAAGCCGGATAGGGATAGACCAGGCATTGTGTATTCAAAATCCAGGGATTATCCAAAACGCTTTGTTTGAAATGATTGGCAAAATCAATGGCGCGGAGGACGGATGAAACTCGATTAAAACTCCAAAGCTTTTGGAAAAATATTCACAGTCGAAGCTATACTTTGAATCCTGTACTTCTATTGAATGTGTCTATTACCTCAATTAATCATCTGTTTGTTGTGTTTTCTGTCTATCCATGACTTTGGTGTTTCGTTCGCATTATTTAGAGTTTTTTCATCTGCAAAGCGTTCGGTGGTTCAAGGTTGATCCGAGGGACCGAGAGACCGAATCTAAAGTGAAATAGCGCGAGTGACATCATCTGAATGCGCTAATAGCTCTAACTGGGAAGTAGAAGAGAATAGAATAGAATCCATAAAAAAAAACATAATAGAATAACAGGGTACACATACCATGAGAATTCGTTTGCGCTGATTCTAAAACAGTTAAAGATCCTGGGAAAAATATCTATAAAGTATAGAATGTGTTGTGTTTCAACTTTCTTATATCAATACACACTGCACAATTACTTTTTTTCATTACATGTTATAAAATGGCAATTAGATCCTAAAACATATTAGGATCTAGTTGAACTATAGAGCTTTAAGTTCCATTAATGACATGATTAGGCAACTTTCCAATGAAAGCCCTGATTCTGTGGGTAGTTTGTTCTTCAATCTCCTCCTGATGGTCGGAGTATCCTCAATTGATGTGACTTCATAGCTACTGCAAATGTTTGAATTTGTTATAGTGAGATGTCAATTTTTAAATTGTTGAGATTAATTTTGTTTAATAGCAATCAGAAAGAAAATACTTTTTATAAGATTTTTAGAAACTCAGTAATAGTACTGGAGTACTCCATTTTACTGCATTAGATCAAAGGGGTGCTTCTTTTTCAATCTTCTTATATCTGATGGTTCTAATATAAGTCAGGTTTTAAAGTCTTTGACCGTAGTTTTAGGAGTTGCTATATTTGGATTTTGCTTGCACATCCCAAAAGATCAACTCCATAGGTCCAAATTGGTTCAATCGCTACCTTGTAGAGCAGTTTCTTGGATTTGTGGACATTTTGAATTCTGAATCCATATACAATAATTCTCATGTTAAACATAGGAGTACAATGAAGTTATCTATTGTAATTTTTTATAGATATTCATATGCCAAACTTAATTAGTTCTCAATTTTATTTGCTGTAAGTTGCATTGAATTAGCACTTGTGAAAATGTTGACTATCGCTTTTTTAATAATTGTTCTCCATATTTTTTCCTATTTACATTAAATATGTCTTCAGTTCAAGATAATTGAATTTGGAAAGAAAATATTGATTTTGTTCTTGACTTTGTGTTTACTGCCGGTATCTATATTTACAATGTTGGGCGCCTGGAGATAATGTGAACAAAGTCAAGGCGAATCTGCAATTACATACTAGTCTCGTGTTTATTTTTCAAAGCAATAATTAAATATGTGGTACAAAAAAAATATTTTACGTTTACAGTATTATTTTATTAATAGTTAATGATTATTCCTCAATTTATAGCTTGAGTTTAACTTGCAATTTGCGCTACTTTATTTTTGCTCAAGCGATCAATTTTCATCACGTGTACGAGCACGTGATACATTTCTATAGTAGTGATACCTTAACAGTTCACCAGTTCAGAAATAGAGAATTGTTAAGATCTATGGAATGATTCTAGAATTCTATAATATTGAATGAAATGTAAATATTTTGATTACAACTTTGTTATACTCACAAACAGTATTTACACCAAGACCTGTGTGGTTCTTTTATTAATATGTTAAATATCAATTCAATTCCAAAAATAATTTTTATATATTATTTTTAGGTAAATCTTCAGCTAACAGCACAGGCAGCAGCAAAGGCGAATGTGACAGTCATAGTGGTTCCTCAGCGAAAGATAAGGACTCCGATTGTTCTGAGAGCGGGCTTTGGGGCAATGTGGAGGCGCAGGCCGCCTTCCTGGGGCCTAATATATGGGATAAGACATTACCCTATGATGCTGATCTCAAGGTGATTATAATCATTAACATAATTACCCATATACTCATTTCTTTTCATTTGGAAGATCCATGTTTTTTAAAAATCATTTTAATACAACTTTGAGAACAAATAATTCTTAATTGATGAATTATATGCTTAATTTGAAATTTATAAAAAAAAAACATTTATAAGAAATTGATATTTAAATCACTTACAAACTTAAGCATAAACTTTTTTAAATTTGCCTCTCAAATATTATCATGTTGGTGCACCTTGTTTGGTTTCGAGTGAAGATGTTACTAGTCATTAGCCGCCGCCATCTTATATTAATGTCAATATTTATTATTTTAGAAAAATTTATTTAAAATATGTATAACAATTTATTAAAACACAAATCACATATTATTTATTTACAATATTTATGGTTAAATATTATAATGTAATTTTTTTAACGAAATTATTTACTTACACTTATCGTGCAATAGAGCCATGAGCTAACCTGTACCAGTAATTTACTGCTGTGATATATTTAATATAGATGATGATTATATGGCAGATAGCCAGTTTAATTTTATTATATATAAGTAAATGATGATATATAATTATAAAAATGGATTTTCCTGACGACGACACTACTACCACAAATATCAATAATAATGCGATTCCTTCTTGTACAAAATCCACAAGAAACAGAAAACAATCAACAAGGTCTAAAAATACTATCAAAATTAAAATACAAAAAGATTGTGAAAAGATTAAACCTGAGGATATAACACACTTTAAGGTTCTGAATATTTATTGAATTACTTTTGAAATGATTTTTGAATTATTGAAGGTCACCATTCTTATGTGATTATTAATATTATATACATTATTCTGATAAGAATCTTCTGATAATTCAACAAAGTTCTGATGATAAATCAGGCATAATCCAATTAGCTTTGATGGAACTAAATACATACTCATTGACTAGTCCGCAATGTTACGTTTGTTGCATTTTATAATATTATATTTATTGTATGTGATTAATATCAAATTTTACTTAATACTATTTTTTTCCTTTCACAGTATGTGGATCTAGATGAGTTCCTTTCTGAGAATGGAATCCCTGTGGATGGAATGGGTCACAGCGGTGGATTGGGGTCCATGAGCCACTTAGGTGGCTTAGGAGGATCTCATAGGTCTGAGGCTTTAGGTCACCCTTTGAGTGGTATGCCAACACATCTAACAAAGATTGAAAGATCACCTTCACCTTCCGAATGCATGAGCCCGGATACTATGAATCCTGCTTCTCCAGCTGATTCAAGTAAATTGATAGATATATTATAAAATTTACAGCTAATATACAAGAAAACTGATCTATTTTTTTGCAATCCTGTATAAATCAAAGGACTGAGTTTAATTTTTTTTGTATATCAGTAATATTTCAATAAGTATTTATTTTCCAGCATTCTCAATGGCTTCTTCTGGGCGAGATTTTGATCCTCGAACACGGGCTTTTTCGGATGAAGAACTAAAGCCTCAACCTATGATCAAGAAAAGTAGAAAGCAGGTACAGGCGAGCACAAGTGACGTAAATATATCATTGATCTAATATTTTTTTCTATCTATTCTAACCTCTTCAAATCTAGCTGTAATTGCGCACATGGTATCATATATAAATATAGGATGACCTGGAAATTACAGAAAATATTCTATAGTTTTTCATTAGTATCACTAAATTTTAGTAAGTTGTTTGAACGTACCATCTGTATATAAGTAAAATTAAATACTCTTTTATTAAACACTTTATTATATTGGGTGGTTAAAGTGAACAAGTATTTCAAACTTTCTCCATTTGAACTATTTTCCTTAGCACACTTTAAAATTTAACTTGTTGCCTTAATTATTTTGATTACTTCTGTTCTTTCCGGTCAGCCTGTAGACTTTAAAATTCCAAGTTGTCATCTGCACAACTAATCTGTACTCGTTCTATAATATTATCCAATTTACCAATTATCGGTTATTTTTAAATATGGTATCATTTGACTGTAGAGAATTGCTTCCGTGTTTTATCGTTTAGTGTAAATGATATATGTATGTTTTTGTGTCTTTGTTTTTCTGTGTAATCAGTTTATTATAGTACATCTTTTTTCTAGTTTGTACCTGATAATTTGAAGGATGATAAGTATTGGGCTAGGAGGAGAAAGAATAACATGGCAGCCAAGCGATCTCGAGATGCTCGACGCATGAAAGAAAATCAAATAGCCTTACGTGCAGGATACTTGGAGAAGGAGGTATAATATTGCCAAATCTGAATAATTTAGTCATATACATACATCAATTACTATAGATTTATTCTAAACTGTTTCTGAAAGTTTTATGTAATAGAGCAGCTAAATCTTTATTTCCTTTAGTAATGCACATACTATTAATTCATGTCCCACTACATATATATATTTCTATTCTTCTAGAATATTGGTCTTCGCCAAGAGCTTGAGCGAATGAAGAAAGAAAACATGATGCTACGAGATAAATTATCAAAATTCACAGATGTTTAATATGTAAATAAATTTGCTTTAAAAAAGCACATTTAACAAGAATTATCAATGATCATCAATTTTGTTTACATTTATATGAAATGTTTTTATTATTTTTACTGTAGTTTTTGACAAAAAGTTTATTTAATTATGTTCAAGATTAACTTGATTTATATTTTGTTTATAGTTATATTTTTATCTTGTTTATACATATTTTATTTGGTTGTGGATTCTTTATTTCTCATTTTTTTGTGAAATAAGCTGTAATCTGATTGTACTGTACATATTTAGTTAATATATATTATAGCTTCTAAAATAATTCACTCACGATGTTTATTTTGTCTCAACAGTCAAAATAAATACTGATTTTTTTTTTAAATGTAAAAGATCAATAATCAATGAAGCAAAGATTTTATAAACATCTTTGCTAAATTTTTATGTAATTGAATTATTTTTCATGCTATATATAATTTATATTGGTAGTTAATTATTAGAGATTTTCTAAAAAAAAATGATCTAAAATTTGGAATAGAACAAATTTTTCATGGCGGCCTAAATTGTACATCTAATTTGTGTTCAAAAACTTGATGGTTTAGATACATATACCTTAATTGATTATGCTTGCAGTTATTTTGTATATAATATAGTCATACACATCTTGTGCAATAAAAAAAGTATATATTCAGAATGATTTAAATTTTCAAGTAGATGATAGTTTCATTTTTGTTAGTTACCAATTAGAATGTTAAAAATGTAATAATTATAACAGATATATAGTATACAACAAAAATTGTAATTACCATGATCATTAATGTTTACAGTTGTAGATAATAAGTGTAATTGTTATGAAATTTAAGAAGATATAAGAACACATTTAACTATTCATAGACAATACTACTCTAATATTTCTGTAGATTATGTAATAACTAATCTGAAATAGTCAATGACTTAGTGCTACTGTTGAAAAATAATTGTTTGAGCAAAAATTAACATTTTAAAGTTACATCTGTACATATTTAATTCTAATTTTATATCACCAATATGTATCGAGTCTAAAAAGTGTTTTATTTTCAGTTTGCTGTATTGATGTTACCATTTGTAGTTACCATTTTCAAGTAGTTGTAGGAAAATATTAAGTTTGTTAGTTTTCATTTATTACAAGAAAGTTATCACTTTATCGATAAATACATGTATAAAATTGTTATATCCTTATAATTTAAGCACTATGGAAGATACAATTCATTCATAACCCTTTTTAAAGCTGTGCTTTAAGATTTAGAAGTAAATAAAGAACTAAAGTACAACTATTCCAGTTTGGGTTAATTTTAAGATATTTTTTTGTCTTATTTTTCACTAATTAGTTGATTTGATATTTAGTACAAATGTGTACTTGTAATAATCTGAAAATGTTAAGTTTATATTGTAGATAAATATTTGATATAGAACGAAGTTGAACAATACATAAGTGATGAAAAGTGCTTTTCCATTGAAAATATGGCTGTAGCAGAAGAGCAAATGCTTTGGTTTGTTTTTGTACAATAAATTGCAATTAATTTATTTTCCAAAATTATAGTGTTCATCATTGTATAGATATTTATTTTACATTTACTTTATTTTAAAATCTAAATTTACTTGTTTATTCACTTTTCTTCCAGATTGATAAAATACATAATGAAAATCAGGGAAAGGCATTATTATGGATTGTTATATTTTGCTTGTTGATTAATTAATAAATTGAAATGTAAAATATCGTTATGAAGCTGTTGTATGTATAAATTATATACAAATATTCTGCAGCTAGTAATTGTTGTATTTGTGATGATAATGAAATATATTTGGAACATAATTTTTATATTCAAATTAATATTTATTTGTTCCTGATGTGTAAATCTACAACTACACTTTAAACATGTAAAAATATTGTCATTGAAAGGAATAATAAATATTTAGTATTGAGACTATTTAATTATTTAGTTGTTTGATTTTACAGACCGATTCACTAGATATTGTTGATACATCTAATTTATTGAATACTGTTTCTCATATCAAAAAGTTTTGCGTCGAGTTACAGATGAAAATAAAATGAATAGTTTCTTGCGGCATTGCTTTAAATAAATTCAATCTCGAATATTGACAAATATATCAGGTACATAAATAAATATATTATAGATAACATTATTAATCTGAATAGAAAAGCTTACCAAGTTTGAGAATTAAGCTTATGCTTGACGTGTAACACTAATAAGCAGTTAACTGTACAATTATAAATGTGTAGGTTCTTTAATATAAAAATTGTCATTTTTCATACTGCATTGAATACTATTTAACAAATATATCAAACATTCCTTATAATCTATTCTTATTAAAAGCATCTCTTTATTACGATGACTTAAGTCTGCAAACTTGATTGGACATTAATCAACTAATGTTACCATGACTTAAGTTGGTTGTATAATAATTTATATAACAATTGTAATAACATTTACACACATTCTTCAATTTTTATTTCATTTACAACATTTAGCTTTAAAAACATTCTATTACTACAACTATGAATATATTACCGTCTAGGACTTCAACTTTGAATTGAATTTCTTAACCGTTATGCGACTTATCGATATTTCCCGCGTATTTTTTTTTCTTACATATGGCCAGCCTGTTTTACCCATACACTTGCACGTTGTTATGTCACTTCAGCCATGACAGCGTTACACATGCCGCACGGCCGCACCACACGTCAGTTTAAAGATTTCTGTCAGTGGGTGATGTGTTGTGCGAGTTCATATACAATAAAATATTGTGTTTTATAGTTTCTAAGTGCTCAAAAGGATTAATAATATTTGAAATAATATTATTTTGTTCACAGCTTACTTGGGTATGTTTAATTGACTTATTACTCGACACAATATTGCATTTTTCATGATTTGTTTTCATTCGTTACATGACGCTTATGAAACGTCAATTGCGTTTGTCGTACGATTGTTTGGTTAAACTCGAAGATTTTCAAAATGATTTTCTCGACGGTGATTTTTTATATGATTAGTATTTTTGGAAATGTTGCTGGATAGAAAATTATTTTGTTAATATTAATTGAATTTCCAGCGTATCATAAAATTACATAACTATAATGATGTAACCATGGAGTCATTTTAAAGTGCCACGCAAATTGTAATATGAAATTCGGGGAATATGGAGGGATTTGGAATATGTTTTGAAATTGAAATACTATTTTTGTATTTGTCCTGGTAATTTGAATTACGCGTGCACGATATTAACACGCAACACTTTTACATAATATGGATATCTATGACGAATCATTGGACATTATTAATAATTGTGTCAATTTTAGACATAATAATTCTAAAGTTATGTAATAAACTAGTTCAAAATCAACTATAATTATTATGTGAAGGCATTTTTAATTCCTTCGAATCTATCATTATAAATATCAAAATCTGTTCAATACAAATTTATTTTATTATAAATTATTACAACCTTCTTGCATAACTGTGATATGATTTTTTTTCTTTTAAATTAGAATCTTCTACTAAAATCTGAAAAGTAATGCTTTACAATTAGTTCACTAATGAGTCATATATATGATTCACATTGTATTTAATCAAATTTAACTTATCAAAAAACCGTGAAAAAATGAATACATTGTACATTGTAAATATTGTTCTAGTAAAATCAAAGAAATGATTTAACTATACTGGTCCATGGCATAGTGCCTTAAGGAAAATTGCTGGAACTTCCCGTACTGAATACTACATTTTTTAAAAAAGGTTCAAAATTTTTCAAAAACTGAAAAAAATACAATTCACAGACTAGCGAATAAACGTTGGTACAGAACCTATAGAAATGTAAGCAAAATTTATACTTCTTATTAAAATCTCTGTGAAATATTTGATAATTTGATGTCCATATATCTACTGATCAATTTTGACCGCCAAATCGCTTTTGTTTTACTTTTTTCACTCGATCTCCGAAACCTCTAGACCTGCATTTTCAAAAAATTAATAATTTCTTCATCTCGTCAATACAAGTAAAGTGTTTTTTTCGAGCTGTTTTAATTTGAGGCAGCAATGTTCGAGAAAAGCTATTTTCACTTACAAATATAATGCGATCTACATTTTCGAGTGAAAACCAATGTCACTACTGTTTGATACCAGGTTGCCGTAGGTGGGTATTCAATTCGAAGCCACAAAGAGGCCCAAATACAATACAAAACGTAAAATATATTTTGCATATACTTTGAGCAACTAACTATATATTTTTAAAATTTCAACACAGCCGCAAGAGATCATTGTTATTCCAGTTATGTCATATTATTACTTCATGTTTAATGAAGAATATTTCATCAGTTCATTTACATAACGAATCTCTTATGTATGAATACAGAACGCGAGCACATTTGGATTATGATTAAAAATCAAATCTATAAACTAAAATTAGAACGGTTGCATAAAATGCTCGGAAAATGGGCTAAATTAATCAAAAATTTATACACAGATAACTGATACATGTGATGTAATAGACAGTATAATGTACAGAGGAGATCTATTTTGGAAATAAAAATAGGTGAATTATAGACATTTTGTTCAAACTTATGTATTGTAATATTTTGCAATTATGTTTGTCTGAATACAATTAAAAAAAATTAAATTGTGTTGAAAAGTTCCATCAAAATATTGAGGCGCATTTAATCAGGATTGTACAATAGTAAAATATTTGATAAATTGTCTTGATATACACCTTTTAGATCTTGACCTACGTTCATTTCATATTATTTGAAATAGAAAAAGCTTTACCTTATATATTATATATAAGGCAATTCCAAACTTATTTTTTTATTTCAATATAATTTCAGCTGCCTTATAAACACATTTAGTTTTTTAGTGATAATATGTACTAC